CATAGTAATAGCACCTGCTAATACTGGAAGCGACAATAAAAGCAGAAAAGCTGTAATTAGCACAGACCAAACAAATAGAGGTAATCTATGCATGGTCATTCGGACTCATTCCTATTGTTGATCCTTTAAAGTTTAAACCACCTGTTTCTGTTCATATGGATAATTCAAATCAGCCTCTCCGGAAAGTTAGGGGGCCGGGGACAGCGCCCGCCGCAGGTGGCTGGTAGAGTTTTTGGGCTCGGCCTAGTGCCACCCCACGCCACCCCACAGCAAGGGGCAATTCTTTTTTTCTTTTACAGGGGCCCTTTGGACGCCCCTGTCCTGAGCAGTACATGACCCACTCCATCTCAACTTGGCTGGAGTCGTGTACTGCTCAGAGATGATGATTAGAAAGGCACTCACTTGGCGGGAGTATGTTTAAGACTCCCGCGATGGAGTTTTTTTAGACGGCGAAACCAAGCATGTCGCATACTTGAGGGTGTACCATCTTCACAATCATTTCGAAGCAAACGGTCCATATACTGGTGAAGAAAAATAAAAATAAATTGCAATAAAACACACATCCAAATTAAGCTGTAGAAAAACCTATCAGCAGTCCTTCGGGACATCCGTTAGAATTGGAATGGTACAGAGAACATCATATGCATAAATCAAGAAACGGTCCAAATTATAAAAAAAAAAAAAAAAAAAAAGCCTACTGCAATGTACGACAAAAACAAAAAACAAAATCTGTAACAACTTACTAACAAGTTAAAAATATAGCCTAGTTTAAAAAAAATTAAAAAAATAAATTAAAAAAAATTACTAACAACTATCTGAAAATTAATAACAATCTCTTTCCAAACTAATTTGAAGAAAAGTCTCGTTAGGTTTGGGAAAGAATGCCGACTTGATGGCTCAGAAAGGTGCGGGCTTGGCCCGAAAAGGCGCTCCCTTGGCTCAGAAAGATTACCCTGTGCTGACTTCATTGCTCAGAAAAAAGGTGCTGGCTTGGCCAGAAAACGCACACTCCATTGGTCAAAAGATTATCCAGCGCTGACTTGATTGCTCAGAAAGGTGAACTCCCTTGGTCAGAAAAGGCACACTCCCTTGGTGAACAGATTATCTCTTGGAGCAGAAAAAGGTCCTGGAAATGATCTTCTTGTATCCATAAGATATACCTTTTGCGTTTTTTTGAATTTTTTTCCCAATAATAAGGTGTGCTTGGTTGTCCCAAGAGGTACCCTAACAGGAGAGGTGCTCAATTGCTCAGAAAAGGTATGCACTTGCACGGAACAGTGCTCTCACTTGCTCAGACACAGGTGCTCCCTTGGCTGCAAAGAAACAGACTCGAAAGGTGTGCTTGCCTGGGAAGAAAGGCACTCACTTGGCAAGCAAAAAACAAAGGTCCTTCACAAAGAGAGCTCACAAAAAGTGCTCTTTTTGTCCAAGCGAGTGCTCACTGGGAAGAAAGTGCTCTTTTTGGACCAAACTACCGTCTTCATTATAGCTGCATTTGGGCCAACTTTCAGTCCAGATGCAGCAATAACGGCCAGGCGTTCTATTCGGGTGAAGACGGTAGTTCTTTCTGGACCAAAGGTCCTTCACAAAGAGAGAGCTCACAGAAAGTGCTCATTTTGTCCAAGTGAGTGCCTGGGAAGAAAGTGCTCTTTTTGTCCAGAAAGAACTCGTTGGGTTTATAGAGTTCGAGGCTTTGGACAAAAAGGAGGTGCTCGCTTCAGAAAACCATCCTTGCTCAATAGAAAACATCCAAGAGAACTATTGAAGAAAGGGGCTTGGTTGATGATACCAGAAGAAAGTTTTTATAAAGAGAGGGCAACAGCGATTAGATATCAGCGTTGAGCTGAGCAGGGCCCGAGGTTAGTCAGAATCGTGTCAATGCACAGGGATTCGAACTCGCGGTCTGTAATGCAACAGTTTCATGGGTGTACCAAGTAGTCAGAAAAAGACAAAAAAAAAAAAAAAAAAAAAAGTTTAAGAAACATGATAAAAACAAAGGCCTGCTCAAAAAAAAAAAAAAATCCAGTACATGCTGTTCCAACTTCCAATTCCTTCAACAAGCGCCTGAACGACTCTGAACGACGACTTGGCTAACACGTTTTTCGGATAGAAGGAAAATAACGAGTCGCGTGCGTGCCTCCTTCAAGCTCTGGAAGACAAGAAGAAGATCTTCAGGTTGTGGGAGAGGAGCATATACATATACACGGACGAAAAGAGAAAGGAAAGCTGAAAGTCGTCACCGAAGGACATTCCAAGAATGGCAAGAAGACGGAGGACATGGAAGATTACAAAAGATTGGTTAGTCCATCAGGTACAGACATGGCTGCTACCCTCTTTTCCCAACCCAAACAGAGCACCCGGTCATGATAGCTTTTTATTTGGGGGCAACTTTCATCATTCAGACAGTGATAATCACTGGGCATTCCATTCGGGTGAAGACGATAAGAAGATACTGATGACCCCTTTTCCATCCTTCCATGACATCACCTTCCCCAGCATATCGATCACATCAAGTGCCGGAAAAAAAAAAAAAGAAAAAAAAAAAAGGAGAAGACGACGACGGCATCAAGTGCAAGGTTACATCTGGCATTTGGCAGCATATACGAGAGTTGTGATGTACAATGGTCCGCGAACAGAGAAGAACAGAGGAACAGCAGGAAGAGGAGGAGGAGGAGGAGGAGGAGGAGGAGGAGGAGGAGTGAAGTACAGAAGTGGAGACGGGGTGAGATATGGCAGTAGGGGGGAGGTCTACACTTAGAAAGCAGAGAAGAAAGGAGAGGAGATGGGATGAGAGAACCAACCCCCTATCTCTGTATACACATGAAGAGCATTGCCTGCAGAAGGACGATAAGATCACGAGGAACAGCAGCTGGAGGTACAGCACATGCAATCAAGGACGAAAGGAGAGAAAGAGGAGTTGCATCCACTGCACAAAAATGGGTGCACAACGCGTAAGCCATGTTGCATGACGACTGCGGGCTTAGTTGCAAGAGACACAGGCATACGATACATGCAGCGGCAAGAGATCGCATTCAAGCCGATAATTTCGCGATAAATGAATTGAAAAATTACACATTTACAAAAGGCAAGACGTTCGAGAGGCCACCTGGTATGAGAATGCTGGTCCCCACAAGCATGGCAAAGATTGACGCCACGAGCGATAATCTCTGTGTGACCCATGGCACACGTTTACCTAAAGCTCTACTAGAAACACCAATGAATGCAGTATAGCTCCCCATCGCTGCAATCGTTCCAATGAGGAACATCATCAGGAAGGCAGCGCCCGCAACTTTCGACGGGAGAGCGAGCGCAGGCAAGACCATCAGAAGAGCGTCGGGCTGAAGGCCATGAATGATTCCTGTAGCAAACGTTGTCGCCAGATTCACGTTCTTCTTCGATATTTCGCCGCTGATCCCTTTGACTTCTAGAACATTCCCACCCACCGCGCCGACACCCGCGACAGCCATTTCCGCCGCTGCCCCCGGCGAAGCCGACGACAACACCTCCTCCTGTACTGACAACGCCTGCGACTCTTTCATGCCAAGCAACCCGATTCCGATCAAGGTCATACCCACAATCCGTGCACCCCAGGTCTGCAACAAATCCATTCTCAGTCTGTCCTTGAGCAACAAGAACATCAGCCCAAACAAAACTTGTCCTGTGTCATGGCCAAAGCCCCACAGCGCTCCTACGCATGCACTTTCTAACTTCGACCGCCCTATCGACAACGGCGCGAGCGCTGCAAGGTGATCAGGCCCTGTGAGAGTATGCAAGCACCCGGCGACAAGACCGGTCCACGCACTTGCTAGCAGCTCTGTGCCAGCTAAGACTTGAAGCACCCCAGTCCTCGGAACAGTCGCACCTGCCGCTGTCGATGCCACTGTCGCTATTGCTGGGGAGGCAACAGCCACAAATCCCAGTGCACCAGCGACCAATGCAAACAAGCGCGCCCTTTCGAACGTCGACGGAGGAACGGTGTCCTGGCTCGACCTCGCTTGTGATGCCGACCGACCAGCAAACGACTTCCCGCGTAGAGCAAGAACAGACAACAATCCCAGAGTGGAAAGTTGTGATTGTGCCTGCACAGTAAATACCACAAGAAAAACCATGTAAAACGGCACACACACATTCCCACACAACTGACACCTAGACCCATCACCAAACGATCATTCACAATTCTCTCCACCACCAACTTCACTCTTTCCCCTCCTACAGTCTTCCCCCGAATACAACGCAAGGTCATTACAGCTGTATTTGACGCATCTTTCAGTCTAGATACCTCTATAATGACCGTACGTTGTATTCGGGGGAAGACTGTAGCGCAACAAACATTCATTACACATCCAAGACAAAGACTCTCTGACCATGGACCTTTGTTTTTTGCTGCCCTCTTCTCTCTCTCTCTCTCTCTCTCTCTCTCTCTCTCTCCCCCTTCCTTTTGCAATCAGACTCGTTCTCAAACACACTTTTCATGCATGTAAACAGCAACGCAGCATACTGGCGACATGCGGCCACTCAAAAACTCGGAGATATGGCTTTCAGATACGAGTTCACTCTCAATTAGCTATGGCGACTTCAGCGCCCAAACATCTCACTGTTCACATACACGGGATCACCCTGGATATCCCACACGCATCACTCTAACACTCGAGCACACACACACACTC